GCTTATAGTTGAGCATTATTAAGTATATTGACCTGGCTATGGAACTTTCTTTTACCTTCTAAAACTATGCCATTTTTTGAAAGATTTTATTTATTTATTTTCAGAGAGGGAAGGGAGGGAGATAGAGAGAGAGAGAAACATCAATGTGTGGTTGCTGGGGGTCATGGCCTGCAACCCAGGCATATGCCCTGACTGGGAATCGAACTTGCAATACTTTGGTTTGTAGCCCGTGCTCAATCCAATGAGCTATGCCAGCCAGGGCTAAACTATGCCATTTTTTAGTGGCTGCATTAGTCAAGAATGAGGTGATTGAGTTTTTTAAAAAGATTTTTATTTATCTATTTTTAGAGAGAGGGGAAGGGAGAGAGAAAGAGAGGGAGAGAAACATCAATCTGTGGTTGCCTCTTGTGTGCAATCAGGGACCTGGATAGCAAACCCAGGCATGTGCTCTCACTGGAAGTCGAACCTGTGACCCCTTGGTTCATAGGCCAGAACTCAAGCCACTGAGCCACACCAGCCAGGGTTGAATTGTTTTGTTTAATGTTCAATAAGCCAGTATTTCTTAAACTATGTTCTGTAGAATGCTGGTATGCTGTTAACAAGTCACAGGGGTGGAAAATCATTCCATTTTTTTTTACAGAAGCCACCTGACAACAATAGCGATGGCCCATAATGCAACATCTTCTTTTTTTAAATTCTTTTTTTTAGAACTTTTAAAAAAATTTATTTTATTTTATTTATTTATTTTTAGAGAGGGAAAGGATGGAGAAAGAGAGAGAGAGAAACATCAATGTGCGGTTGCTGGGGGTCATGGCCTGCAACCCATGCATGTACCCTGCCTGGGAATCGAACCTGCGATGCTTTGGTTCGCAGCCCGCGCTCAATCCACTGAGCTATGCCAGCCAGGGCTCTTTTTTTACATTCTGAATTTAACTTAGTTCAATATTTTCTTTAAAGTTTGAAGAAAATAGTTAGCATGTTGTGAGTATATATGTTACTTGATATGTTATCACCTCAAACACTTAAGAACCTGTGAGCTTTAAACAACGTAAACGAAGCTAAATTAGGAGAAAATTGGGAAAAGATCACTGGTATGAGAGCCAACAATGATTGCTGGTCTTGTTTCTGCCACCAATCAGCTACGTGACTATGGAAAGTCAGTTCCCCACTGTGGTCCCCAGTTTCTTCTTCTTTTTCCTTTCCTCTGTTTTGCCATATCCACGTTTACAAGTGATCTATGTTTACTAGGCAACACCTAGTCGGGTGAGGCCTCTGCTACCCTGGGCTCCAGGGAGTCTGTTTCAACCCTGGAACGACCCAATCTCAAGTCTCTCCCGCTTCCCCCGTCTTTGACTCTGGTGTGGGATTCCTGGACACGTCGGTGATGTGTGTGATGCAGGATGTGGCTGGTTCAGGCAAGGTCTCGGCATCTTCGGCAGCTCACTGGAGAGCCTTGTTGTCTAGATATTTTTGGTATCCTTCCTGTCACTCTAGTAACTTTTTTGTGTCTATATTTTACTAAAAAGCTGCTTGAAATGATTTGGGGCCTCCTGCAGAGAATTCATCATCGAACATGAAAACAATTCCAAGACTCTGAATTTCAAGTGACTCGGCAGTGCAGGTCTCTCCTGTTCTTGTTTCCTAGTTAAACGGAGAATTAATCTTAAAAAGAATTCTCAGTGTGCATTCTATATTTTCTCTTACTTGTTTGGATAACATGATCATGACACGAACTGAAAGTGCACTGTCTAGTGATACAGCCTGAGAAATGATGACAATTAAAAAAATACGATATGGAAACATCACAGCTCTTGGGCCTTGGGCTATCCAGGGCGACTTTTTTCCTTGCCCTCTTTCAACATGAGGATGTTTTCTTTTTTTTTTTTCCCTTGCAGCTAAATAACAAAACTCAGTTCTTTTCTTTTCTTTCTTTCTTTCTTTTTTTTTATTGCTTTTGTTCCCATCTGAATCTTCCATCAGCGCTTTCTTCTGAGAGCAGAGCCGGTCACACCAGGCCACCAACGGCCTACATTCAGTTCTGGGACACACTTTGAGGGACATAGGGACACATTCAAGAAGAGAATGACTGGACAGCATGGGGGCCTGCAGCCACGTCATGAAAAGGTTGGGAAAAAAAACTTAGGGACTTAATCTGGAGAAGGCTGAAGGGAAGAAGCGGCCCAAGGCAGCAGCTCGTGCGGTTCTGAAGGGCTGCTGTGTTCCCCACGGACTAAGGGCGTCCAGGAGAGCCGTGGGGAACCGGATTAGACCCCGGCGGTGGCGCCCCCTTTTGGAGCTGCCTTCAGCTGGGAGTTTTCTAGCTCCGCTGCAGCCGCAGGCAGAGGCTGCAGACTGCCCCTCAGGGCGGCGGAGGCAGGGTTCAAGCAATGTTCGCAGAGCGAGACTAACTGTTGTCATTTTGAACTTGAGTCCCTTCCCCACTTAACGGTTGGTTACATTTCTGTGTATAGCATCGCCTCCCTTTTCTGCAGTGGAGTGACATCTGAATTCGCTCGGTATTTCCTTTCCGCGGGAAACAGCTTTTCTGTGTGTTGTTTAAAAGTAAGTGCCTAACATTTATGTTAAGCTGGGTGATTGGAAAGAAGCTTCTTCTATTATCTTCCTCCATGGACTGTGGAATCATGACTTTATTATGAAACTGCAAGCGGTAGGAACATTGGCCTCATGATAGCTGAGAGAATAAAGGGTTTTATGATCTCATCGGAACCCTGATGTGTGTGCGCGCTCTCTGTCTGGTTCACGGTTTTTCCTGCAGAATTTTCTGTGCCATTTAAATTCCGCAGATTTTGTGTACGAGCTGGGGTTATACTGACAATCACTTATTTTCCTTTCATGCAAGATTTTAAAAATGACTTCGAGTCTTTGAAATGAATAGTTTAACTCCAAAAATTCCATTATAATATCATAAATACGCCAAGACAAAAGTAAATCGTTGCATTTCTAGTCCTTAATTTTAAGGCCTTCTATTTGTTTCCGTTCCTAATTCATTCCTCATGACTACATTTTTTAAGCAGAATTAGAGGAAAGAAAATGTTTCTGTAAATTCAATTCAAACAAATAACAAATGGGCATTCAATGAACTCTGCCTTTTCTGAAAGTGTAGCCTTGAGAGTTCTTGTCATTAGGCCATTTACTCTGAGAAATCGAAAGTTTATGCATCTGATGAGAATTCTGACTTCTTTTTCTAATACAAAGCTGGGAGGAAAACTTGTTAGGAAGCTTGGTAAGCGAATTTAGACGCTACACGAATTTTCTATCAGCAAGTACGGAAAGAGATCTCCATCAGCGAATTAATTTAGCCTTTCAAGCAAAGTGGGTAAGTTCACTGAGACTTTTGAATACTTGGCCTTTCTGTGTAAAAATCTCAATAGGAATTTTTCAGTAACCTACTTTGAACTGGCCAATGTGACTGTTGACCCCAAGATTTGGGGGTTAAAAATATCAGGCAAAACTCAACTAATTGTGCGAATGTGGCCCAGCTGCTGGAGGACATTTCTACTTTGAGAATTCATAGCCAGGGGCAGTAAAATACGGAATGCGCGCATCTCACCAGAGTGGGGCCGTCGTTACAACTCCTCTTTCCCAAACTTTTACCGTTTTAAAACCTCTTTGAAACAGTTTTTCCTCCTGTGAAGACTGGGGGATGGTAGGAGGGGCTCTTTAGTGATTCTTCCAGCTTTAAATTTGTATGGTTCTTGCCTTAGAGTTTAAAGATTTGGATGTTAGGATAGGTTTTCCTCTTTACTATCTTACCAGGGCATGTTCGATTAAAATTAGATATTCCCAATTTTTTTTTACTGAATATCGAAGTGGTATTCGTCTATCAGCTTCTTTCCCCTTTTAGCTTTTTGCATAGCCAGCAAAGTTGCCTAAGGGGCTAAAACCAGCGAGCCGAGCTTTACCCGCTGGCCTCGGGGCGCTCTCCCCAAGTCCAGGAGTAGATTCTTGCCACGCGCGCCCCCTTTCTCCCAAGGGGTAAATGAGCCACGGCGAATCCCAACGCGGGTGCCCATCGCTTTCTGTTTCTGGAGAAACCACTCAGAGCGCATGCTCTTCTGACGAAGGGTCCGGAGCGCCATTTTCATATGCAAGAGTCTGTCCCCTAATTAGGCGCGTCCTTGGGACACCCGGCATTAAAGTTGTTCACGAACAGGCCCAGGGCCTCTGTGAAAGGACCCTGCTCCTCGAGCGCTTCGGCCGAGATGACGGAAAGAAATTCCTTTGTTAATTCCCCCCCGCAGGACAAGTGGCCCTCTCCCGCCCCCCCTCCCTTCCCCGCCCCCCGTGGGGGCCTCGCCCGCGCCGTGGCGCCCCGCCCCCTAATATAAAGGTGGGCATTTGTGATGGTTTTGCGCCCGCAGTGGTGGCCCAAATCAGAGTACGTGGGGGGGCCGGATGGAAACGTCTTCCCCTGCGCCAACAAAGCACACGTTCTATCAGAGCCCAGTGTATGTAGAGGAAACCAGTACGAGGTCTGAGCTAGGAGGTAGCGCTTCTGTTTTCATTTTTATTTTTTATGCAGACGGAGACCCATCGGAGGTGGGGATGGGGGTGGTTGGAAGAGGAGCCAGAGGTGAGGCAGGGCACGGGGAGCTGAGGACTATGTGTGTGCGCGTGTGTGAAAGAGTTTAGAAGAACGTGGGTGCGTGGGTGCAGAGAGAGGGGGACGCGGCGCATCCCAGCCGCCCGCTCCCCGCGCCACCCTTTCATTCATAAGTTTCAGGTCTGGAGGTCGTGCAGGGCTCCAGTGGGCCCAGGGCCCCGCTTCGCTCACAGCAATTGGCGGAAGGTAACAAAGCCTTAGCAACCGGCTCTTGATGACCCGCGGGGCGCTTGGTGACGGGAGCCAGCCGCACAGAGCCAGGAGCCGGCTGTCCCTTTAAGGGATGGCCGCGGAGCCTTGAAAGTGGAGGGGCAGAGGGAGGGCGGGGAGGAAGGTCTGGGGGCGGGCCCGGGGGGAGGAGGAGGAGGAAGAGTTGCTGCTGAAAGGAGGCGGCGGAGGAGGAGCCGGGGCAGCCGCTGCCAGCCCGGGGCACCGGAGTCCTGCCCGCTGCCGCGCGAGTAGCCACGGGCGCGATCGGGGCCAGAAGTCGGCTGCTCCATGATCACTCTGGGAGCCGGGAGGAGACTTTGCCCGGCCGTGCGAGCGGCTCTGCGTTTCCCAGGCGAGGCAGCGGCGGAGCAGCGGCGGCAGCCGGGTCCCGGTCGGAGCGACCATAGCCCGGGGCGTGTGCGCCCCGCGTGGAGAAGGCTCGGGTTCCCCACGGAATGTCCCCGGGGCGCCCGGCGCGCTGACTCCCCAGACGCCTCCGCCTTCGGCGCTCGCCGCCTCTCGCGGTCTGGCTCACTGTTCGGGACTGCAGGCTCCGGGGCTTCTGGGCAGGGGGGAAGCCCCCGGGGGCGAGTGTCCTCAGCGGGCCACGACCCAGCCCTCCCCCGTGCGTATCTCGCTTAAGATGGCAGCGGAGTCAGGGGAACTAATCGGGGCTTGCGAGTTCATGAAAGGTGAGGAGCAGCCGCCCCGCCTTCTCCGTTCCCCCTGGCCCCCACTCCTCACTTGTCGCCCCTAAGTCCCAACTGCTGCCCCCGGCTTCTCCGGGGCCCCAGGGTCCTGCAGCCGGCGCGCGCGCGCTCAGCCTCCCTCGCTACTGTCCTCTCCCCCAGGACCCCCTGCTTCCGGCTTCTCTGTCTTTCTTGCGTCCCTCGTCCCTCCGCGGCTCCTTCGGATGGCCTCCCTGCGGGTCACGGGACAGCGCCGGCTTCTGCCGGGGTCCCGCACGCAGCCGTTCGGAGGCGGGGGTGGGGTCCGGGGAATGCTTTAGGTCGTCTTTATCTTAGTCTTGCTGGCCTCGGTGTTCGGGACACCCCCGCCCTCCATCACACCCCGCTGTCTCTCCTCCCTTCCTCTTCTCACGTCCCCGGGCTGTAGGAGAAAGCTCGTCTCTCTTCCCCTTCCGCAGCGGCTGGAGATTTCTGAACCCAACTAGCATCTCCAGTTCTCCTGGTACCCCGGCTCTCAGCCGCCCCCCCCCCCCCGCCCCAGGCGCTCCCCTCGGCTTCTTTGCGCTCCTGCTGGCTGGAACCAAGGGCGCCGGGCTGCCCCCTGCCGAGTCCCTCCTCACCCAGGTCCTCTGCGTGCCTCTCTGACTGCTGTGCCCTCCTAGTGTCTCCGTCCCTTTCTGGGAGAGATCAGGTTTCAGCAAGAATCCCACGTGTTAATGGCCTTTAAATAATGGGTAGCCCTGGTTATTTTGATCTTCCGTGTATTGTCACCACCCCCACCTCCAGCTTCCCCACTTCTCACGTGTTTTCTCCCGTCTTTTAAACTTGTCTTTCAGATCGGTTATATTTTGCTACTTTAAGGAATAGACCAAAAAGCACAGTAAATACCCACTATTTCTCCATCGATGAGGAGCTGGTCTATGAAAAGTAAGTTTCTGGGTTTTTTTTTTTCTCTCTCAACTCTTTAGCTTGCTGACTCTTTGATGAAGAAACACTATGCACCGTTACGGCCGTTTTACTCACTTTCCCCAGTGGTGCAAGTGCAAGTACCAATGGTGCAAGGCTCAGGTGCTTGGGGAGAGGTGCAGGGGACAGGAGTTGAGCCTGCCCACACCTCTGTCCCTTTGGACCTGTGTGTGTGTGTGTGTGTGTGTGTGTGTGTGTGTGTTCTTCCCACCACTGGGACCTCCTGCAGTTGAGGACCGCCAGCCCTCCCGGAGCAGGACCAGGGAGGGAGCCTCCTGCCCTTGCTGGACCCTGAAATGGCCTGGGGGTGAGTCTCCCGGTGTTTGTGGCTCATCCTCAGTGTCCAGGCAGCTCTTGGCAGCTGACGGGGGCCTCAGCCTCTGGGTTCACAGGCTGCGGGTGTCTCCCGGCCTGTTTTTGTTTGTGCTGCGTGTTGTTTTGGAAAGTGGGACGCAGGAAGCTGGGTTGAAGGGTGGTGTGTGTTTGTTTTGTTTCCTGTGAGAAGATGTTACCTGTGTGACAAATGAGGGAGCTCCGAGCCTCAGGGTCTTACTTTTCTTGCCCGTGAGGAGTGGTGCAGGAGCGTGGTGTACTTTCTCTGGTTACTTTGCTTCTCTGGAATTTGGATTTGAGAGAGTGAGATAAGAGTGTGGAACGGTTTTTGGTGGAGGACCCTTGGTCTACAGGAAAAAGGTATCTTAATACTTAATAGTAAGTGTAGTACAAATGGAATTGGAGGCAAATCTCTAGTTAATAAAAGCAACAGATAATAATGAATAAGAAGACTGAATTGACTTGATTATGTGCTTTTACTGAAAGAGCTGGTGCCTCAGAGTAGTCTAATGTAGCCTAACAAACATTTAATTTTACTTTCTTGTTTTGTCTGAATGTGCAATTAGATGAACATAATAAAATGAACCACGGTCACTCGAATTAGTTTCCTAGGACCTGTCCCGTCCAAAGGGTTTGGGCAGTCCTGCCTGAACGTTTGTGGGTGCCACCAGGAATCCTAAGAGTGTGTATCCTTGACCTTCAAGAGCATATCTTTTATTTGAAACAAACTTGGATTGTCACTTTACTGTAGGGATTCTGGGAGCTGACGTCTCCAGGACATTCCCTTCCCGGTGCTGGGAGCAGGGCGCCCCAGGAGCAGGGCCACCCCAGGGGCTGAAAGCGGGGGATGAAAGGGCCCTTTGCTGCGGCTCTGATGCCCGGCACTGCCACGGGGAAGGTCTGAAGCCCAGGTGTCAGATTACAGCTCTGCCCCAGACGGAAACAGAGGGAGTAATCTGTGGCCTGTCGCCTGACCTGGTGTACCTGGATGATGTCACTGCCTGCAGTGTTTACTGCCTGCCTGCTCTCTGTGGTTGGGAGTGGGCCTGGCTGTGGCTTGCTCTCTTTCGGCCAGTTCAGGGCTCGGCGAGCTCCCGCGAGTCTGAGGGTAGGGATGGTGGGTGTGCCACCACGTCCAGTTCTGCGGTGACTGACATGCCAGAGGGTGTCCGCAGGAACAAGGTCCAGCCGTTGAGGCCTGCCTTGCTGCCTGTGGGACGGCTGGATGGTGGGTCCAGCAGAAAATTACAGTTGGCCTGCTCAACACGGTGCTCACAGGGTTTTGGTTGCCTCTTGTATATGCTCCAAGCGGGGAACTGAACCCACAACCCAGGCATGTGCCCCGACTGGGAATCGAACTGGTGACCTTTCTCTGCAATGATGAGTGAGCTACGCAGGTGGCTCAGGATGATGAGGACGTTTTGGTGTGATTTTTACGTTGGCGTTCAAGGAGAGGGCTACAAATCACATTCCTTGAATATTTGTTAATGGGGGCTTATAAGGAAAGACCGCCCAGGAGACTGTCAGTTTCTCCTGTGAGTCTTAATGTCGCTAGAATCCAGGACGAGGCCTCTGGCCTGGCAGAGTCTTTCCTCTGGCCTCGACTTGCCCAGCAGCCATAGCACAGAGGGGGCTCTGGCCCCCAGGCCCCCGTCTTACCCAGCACGGTGCGCCGGGCTGGGTGGAGTCAATGCGGTGATGGCAACTGCGCGTGTCCCTCCAAGGAGCTCTGAGCCTGGAGGGAGGGTGGCAGGACGGCGGTGAGCCCTGGGCTCTGAGGGATGCCCAGGCGGGTGGGTGCAGGTCTGGGTGAGGGGTTCACGGGGCAGTGAAGGTTGGCTTGCAGGTAGACGGAGTCTCACCTGCCGAGAGATGTGAGAGGAGAGACCCCGGACGGGAGGAGAGCCGGGGTGCAGAGGGTGCCCCGCAGGGTGCTCAGGGACCTCGAAGTCCTCGGGTTCGCCTGGCGTGGGTGCCGGCCAAGTGGGGGTGCGCGATCTGGAGCCAGAAGGTCAGCTGGAGGCAGATCGGGTGTCGGGGCGAGGAGACGCCGCGTCCTAGAACACCCTGGGACTCTGCTGAGGGCCCTGGGGACACGGGAAGCCTGGGTCTGTGGCCTGAATAGCAGCAGACGTGTGTGGAGCATCCGGATGCGTGCCAGAGGCGGTCTGCCCCAGGTTCTTCGTGGCTCTTAGATCGTCCTCCGTGTGCACGGGGGAGAGGAAGGGACAGAGGGGTCGGGGAACGTGGCCAGGGCATCGGGAGTAAGAGGTAGCAGAGCTGGATTGTGAAACCAAGCCCTCTGGTGCCGGAGGACACATACCCTCTCTCAAAACCTCACCACGATAGCATCACGTAAGATGCATTCGAGGGGAGACAGAAGCCCACTTAGAACAATGTGAGGACGTTGCGGGTGAAGAAATCCAGGCCCAGGTTTGGACTGTGGTGGCAGTGGTGGTGGCGAGGAGGGGTCTGAATCCATGGCTCGGTGGCAGACCAGCCCGGGCAGAGGGGTGAGGCGCTGAGGAACAGGAGGCTGGAGAAGTCCGCAAGGCAGCTCGGGTCCCGGGGCGCCGGCGGGAGCCGCTTCCTGCGACAGGACGCTGCCGGGCGCAAGTGTCGGCCTCCGCGCGAGGATCGGGCGTTCCGTGTCGGCGACGTTGAACGTGAGGCATCTCAGGGCCGGTGCGTAAACGTGAAGTTGTCCAGTCTGGGAGTTTTCCTCGAAGGAATGACCGTGCAGTGCGAGTGCTGCGAAGCCTGGGGAGAAAGAAAGAAGCCACCGGGGGCTGAATGGCCCCAGCGCGGCCCCGGGGGAGAGGGGGGAGGGCGGAGGACAAATCACCGGATCTCCGTCGTCGACTCCTCCTCTTCTTGGAGGCAGAGAATGAGCGAGATCGAAATGCCCCTGGAAGGACCCGTGTCGTGGTGACCAGGGTTCTGCCGACGGAGGGTCACGTGCGGTGAGGAAACTCTCCACCGTCCTATCATAACGCACCTGTCTCGGAGGAGAGGGGACACGTGGTCCCACAGACCCCCGGGACAGCCCTGGGCCCCTGTCCTTATCTGCCCAATGTTGAATGCAGGGCCCCCTGTCCAGCTCGATTGCCACCGCGGAGATACAGCTGTTATTTTTGAATCTGGAAGGAGACGCCTTAAATATTAGGCTGCGAGGATTCTGGACACAGCTGGGTCTCGTGCAGATTGTCATTTAGCATGGTAGCGCTCGTGATTGAAGTGGCGACCTCCCGAGAAGCTGGCGGAGGAAATTTGGCCAAGTGGCCTCGAGCAGGAAGGAAGGCTGTTTTATTAGACGTGAAAGTCTGAATGTTTCTGCCCCTTTATAAACAGAACTGACCATGCCAATAAAGGGCCTGAGCAGTTGTAGTGAAATGCGGCTGGTGAGAAAACATGCATTCTATCCTTGGGCTATGATTTCACAGATCAGAATGAAAATCGGGGTATAATCTAAGCCACTTGTGGGACAAAAAGCCCCGTGAAAAGGAAGCCTTTCAAAGATTTATCTGTGTGTGTGTCAGCTGCCGCCAAGGCCCGGCTCCCCAGAAAGGCTAGTCCTGGGGTTCGGGGAAGTGGGCCCTGCAATCCACGTGAAGGCTTACCCCTTATAACTCGGCTCCCATGTTTTTGGCCGCAAAGTTAGCAAAATCAAATATGTGAATTGTCATAACCTCTGCGTGCCCGTCTGTGGCGACGCTGGTGCCGGGTTGTTAATGCCGAGAATGCGGGTTTGCCGTGGAGGGTGGAGGGAGGTTGTTCGTGTCCAGCCTTGTCCCTGTGTGTTTGTTCCCCAGTTGGGTGTGAGGGGGGCAGGGCTGCCAAGGCAGGACGGTCACGCTCTGCGGACTGACCGATGGGACACAGGTGCTGAAGAGGCTCGGAGAATTTCACCCAGGTTGTGGCACCTGATGAAGGAGCCACCTTGGTGAGGACTCGGTAGCTCACGTGCAGATTTAAATAATTTAAAACGCTCAGTTTTCATTTACACTTTATTAAAGCAGCCCGATATGAGTGCCACCAGGGGCTTTGGATAAATAATTTATAGAAGAATGATTTCTTTTGTGTAGTCGGTCACATAGGTTTGAGTCAACACGTGGACCCGGGCCATCTTGGAAATGCAGAGGAACTTGTCTTGCCTGGAGATACATGTGGGAATGGAGTATTTGGGCGAGGTAAAAGTGAGAAGAGACCTTTTTTGCTTTTTAATTTTATTTCATTTTTACTTATATATATTCTATATTTTTTTTAATTTTTAAAATTGATTTTAGAGGCGGGGAGAGAGAGAAAGAAAGAAAGAAAGAGAAAGAAGCATCGATTTGTTGTTCCACTTATCGATGCGTTCATTGGCTGCTGCTTCTGTGTGCCCTGACTGGGATCGAACCCGCAACTTCGGTGTATCGGGACCATGTTCTAAGCAACTGAGCTGACCCAGCCGGGGCTTCACTGGTATTTCAAATTGGAGATGTAGCAGGTCGGTTAATTTAATGGAAAGGAGACACATACACCTGTGCATGATCTCAGGGTCCTCACTGGCCAGCTCGCCTCCTGCAAATCCCCTCACAGAAGAGGGGATTTGGTTGGATTCAGAGACACATCTCCCCTGTAAAGCC